TTTTATTTAAAAAAATACTAAATACAATTAAGTTTTCCAGGCAAATTTGCCTGGAATACGGTTTAAGAAATAAAATATTGTATTAAACCAGCTATATCTTTATATTAGTATTTGTTTATCTGTTAATTAAACTAAAAAAAGATTAATATCTAGTTTATTTATTGAACAAAATACAGTATAACTTTTATTAAATTATATTCTATTTATAGTAATCTAAATAAATTTTTAATTATTTTAATAAATTTAAATTACAAATAAATATGTCTAAACTTCTATTCTTGTATATAATTTTTATTTTTATTTGTACTTGTACAAATAATAATATATATGTAGTTACTATATACAGTAGTTATTATTTTTAAAATTACTAATAAAAATATAAACAAGGCTTTATTTTAATACCAAAAAAAATTATATATAATTTAACTCTACAGTTATACTATCAGAATTATAATAATTTTTTTTAAAAAAATGTGTTTATAAAAAGTTGTGTTTATATAAAGTTTTTTTATATATTTATAATATATAGTTGGTTTTATAGAATTTGTATATAATATTCTTATATAGAAGATGACTTTAGAAAGATTCGACTATATAGATATAATAAAATAAAACATTTGTATATATTATAATAATTACTAAAATTAACCAATCAAAGTAATATTACGTATAGAATAGATATGAAGTATATATTTTTAATTAAAGTTAAACAAATTTGTCTGCTTTACAGGTTGAAACATAAATTTATACGCACTCGCACGGGTTTAATAAGCATTAATCCGGATCTGATCTGTAAGCGGGTCCGGAAAACACTAGATTAGGGGATTAAAATAGAAACCTCAAAATTTATAAAAAAATTTATAAAAAAATTTATAAAAAAATTTATAAAAAAATTTATAAAAAAATTTATAAAAAAATTTATAAAAAAATTTGTTTGTTGTTTACAAAAAATAAATATAGTACGAATATTGTTTTTGTTTTTTACTATATATAAAAATTTAATTTTAAACTATATAATTTAATATTAATTAACAAAAAATAAGAGATATCGATATATAAAAGATTAGTAGAATTTGAAACAGCAATATACAGATATACGTATTTAAATATTACGTAACAATAATATAAATTAATTGGCCTTAAAGCTTAAAATTTATAATCAAATAAAATTAAATATTTTCCAAAAACGTAATCAAAATCATTGGATTAGAAAATCATGCTATAATGGGTACATGTTTATTTCTTGAAACGTGGAAAACAAATTTAGAATATAAAGTAATAAATATACAATATCAATAAGAAAACAAGAAAAGGCCAGGGATTATCAAGATAAGTTAAGCACAATCTGAATCCGAGGATTGATAATGAATTTTTAAGGGAAATTTTATAACAGAAACAAAAAGATATAAATAGTATTTTTCTTGAACATCTGAAACTTGAGAAGAAGCAAGAAAAAAAAAAAAAGGGACAAAAAAGAGACACCTATTTCAAAAAAAATCAGATACATTAAATACATAAAAGTAATATATATATGCCAATAACAGACTACTTGATTTCCGTTGCATTTATTTCAATAAAAAGATATTTGGAAGAAATTCAGAAATTTAAACTTTGGGAAGACGGAATAGTAAAATTGATCAATTACATACGTCATGAAGCATTTCTTTGACATCCATTATAGGATTCATTCAAATGATTGCGTGGAGTAAGATTATAATTTTCGCGTTCCGCTCCTACCAACTCAACCGTAAATATACAAATGAGCAACCAAATGAGTTTCGATTGTCAATCCTCAGAAGCAAATTTTTTGGGTATTCAGATGAGGACGAATAATTTCATGCAGCGATTCACATATTGTCTGCTAAAATAACCTTTATGCTAATCCTTAAATTGATGATTTTTTGCAAGTTAGGTAACTTAAAAGATCGGTGGACGTGGCGCAAATAGATATAAACTTTTTTTATTGTAAGAGATTAGCCACTAATCCACGTGAAAATCCGAATAACATTTAATTCTGCCATAAATGTATTACAATAGACGGATGAATGAAAATTAGAAGCGTTTAATTATATATAATATATATATTATATATTATATTATATATTATATATTATATATTCTATTATATATATTATATATAAAAATATATATCGATATTATCAGTTATATACCTTTCAACGATACTAATAAAGTATCTAAAAGTATCTAAAAGTATCTAATAAAGTATTCACAACTATAAAATAAATCTTAGATCCAAAGGTTATACGTACGTACCTACTTAGCAATATAAAAAAAAGGTGAAAATCTGGTGTGGCTTTGCGAAATAATGAAAGAAAGTAACCTTTAAATTCGAGTAAAAAAAAAAAGGTTGTACAGAGTTTTGACTTGTTGACCTGCTGACTTCACATGCCGAAAATATTATTCTAAAGTCAGCCCATATTACCACATGTAAAAACAAAATTTATACTTACTATTTGAAAAATATCTATTGTTTTTAAAAAAAAAAATTGATAGTCAAGTATAACTCATATGAATATCGTGCACTCATTGCATAATGCAACCAAAACAATTACGCCGCCTCCCTTTCTAAACTTTTCCTCTTCTCATCCCTCGTTTATCGTTTTTTTTTTTTTTTTTTAAAGTTGAATTATTTCATCGCCTAAAAAAAGACATTCTCGAGAAAAAATACAAGTTATTCGAGTTCCACCTTTTTCATAAAATTTATATATTTTTTTTTTGTACTTTACAATTTCCTCGTTGTCACTTTACCAACTTTCCAAAGAATAAATAAATAAACTGTAGTATTTGTCTGATATTTTCTTACATCACTTTTTATATACTTTTATTATTTCTTCCTTCCATTTTACAAACGTGTGTACAATATATAAAATGTATCATAATCAACCCCCAGTCTTACCTTCGTTAAGTACTACTGTTGAATATAAACCCGTGAACGGTGATTCACAAAATATAAAACAAGAACAGCACGATGGTTCTTTTGATTCCAATGTTCCCCTAACTCCTTCTCCTTCTTTGTCTCCAACCCCTACTCGAACGGACCTTCCAAATAATCACTCTAGAATGTCTATAAATCAATTATGTAACGATACTGACGATGAGGTAAAAAAGGCCGCGGCTGTTCTAGAAAATATGAAACAAGGTCTTCCATCAATCGGTACTTTATCTTTTACTTTAATTTTTTTTATAATATGTATATTAATTTTATTCTCTCTTATATTCATTGATATTCATCTATATTCATTTATCTACTTTCATTGTAGAAATACCACCTCATTCTACACAAATAGAACACGATGGTTCAGGGCAGATGCCAACCTCACCTTCTGGTGAAACGGACAATACTTTAATGTCACGAATAGGAGGCGGTATAGGCTTTTTGCGAAAAGGCATGAATTTCTATGAACAGGGTAACTACCCGTACATGAAAATGGTCGGGTCACAAGTTTCTAAAATAGCAAAACCTGTTATCGAAAAACTTGAAGAAATGATGGATAATAATAGTAATAACAATAATAATAACAATTCCGCTGTTGTTTATACTGCTACTCCAAATGGTGATTTATCGTACGATTCTTCTAAAGAAGATGTAATAATCGGGGGTGAGAAGGATGATGCTTCTGCTCAAAATCGAAAAAGGGGTGTTCATGGTGAATTAAGAAGTTCATCTCCTTCATATAGATCCCCCTCTCGATCTCATCGTTCTTCTCAATCAAATGGTTCTCAAAATAGTTCTTCTCTTTACTCTTATCCTAATAACAACAACAATTACACAGCATCAAATCCTACTACTACCGTACTACGCAATAGATTGCAGCAAGTACTTGTTGGTGCTGGCACCGCTGCTGGCGCCGCTGGTGCTGCCGTTAGTGAAGAATCTATGAAAAGTCTTAAATATTGTCTTCAATGGTTAACTGTATGTATTTTTATCATTTAATTATTATTATTTCTCATTATTATTATTATTATTATTTCTCATTATTATTATTATTATTATTTCTCATTATTATTATTATTATTATTATTTCTCATTATTATTTTCTAGTATGCTACTCAGCATATAGGCAACCAAATTGCTGCCTTAAAAAGTATTATTGACAGTTTTACCTCCCCTGCTTCAAGTGGTGCTATTATATCTCAATCATCTTCTAAGCTTGCTGCGATTAAAAAGGAAGTTGTTGATACCCTTCGCAAAGTCATCGAGGTGGTTTCTAAATATGCCAGCATTTGTCTTCCTGAGCATGCTAAACATAATGTTAGAAGTTTTATATTAAGCCTACCCTCAAGATGGGCTTCTATCAATCATTCTGATCACTCTTCTTCGGCTTCTCCTGCTGCTTCTCCTCGTTTACCTCCTTCAAATGCTCATATTAATCAAACCACTGATTACGCTCGTCGTTTGTTAAGTTTAGCAAACGAATCTCTTGATATGCTCCGTGGTGTTGCTGGTATATTTAGTGAAACTGTTGGTCGTGCTGAAGCTTGGGTTGAACGTTTAAGTTCTTTTGGTGTAACTGGTGGTGGTGCTAATGCTATGGGTCATATCCATTTTGATAGTATCCCTCAGCCAAATGGTAATGGTTATACTTATAGTCAAGCTACTAGTAGTCCACCATCTCATTCTCCTGTAACTCCTCGGTCGCGTAGAACTTCTACTAATTCGGCCCGTATGAATAGGAGGTTTCGTACTACTCACCCCCTTATAGATGATGAAGATGATGATTTTTCTGATT